TGTGGCACAGGTGGGGTGTGTGACGTAGAGTGGACCTATGTGTTTTGAGTGAGGTGGGAGGAACAGGAAGGCAGGCCAGTGCTTGAGGCCTTAGTGACCTGAACTTGGCCTTCATGCATGGTGTTTAGATGGTTGCTGATTTGGATGGTATGGTCTTCAGCCTATCATTTCAAAGATCTCACACACACACACACACACACACACACACACACACACACACCAGTTTTCAAATGGTACACAAGTTGAAACCCGCTGTCCTTTTGTGGTATCTCTTCTCCCCGCCTGTGCACACTTAGATCCAACTAAAATTGCTCTCAGATGTCTGCCACTGCCTCCCGGTAGTTGGAACACCCAGGGGCTTCGTTTCAGACATTCTGAACTCCATATACGCTTCACTTCTCAAAGCCCTGCTGAACCTGTTGTCTGCTAGCATTTTTTTCTCCTGCCAATGTAATTTCTTTCCTCTTCCTTCTTCCTCTACCGAGGACCTTCCCCCTCCTCTCTTACATCCCAGAGCCTTCTCCCATGGTGTTCTGACTCCTGTGTTTTGCTCAAATGCCTTCCTCATTTTCAACACAGGATCCGCCTGTTGAACATCAGCATGGACTGATGATGGGGCCTCAGGGGAAAAAGATGCATTTTCTTCCTCAGACTTTCTGTTCCCTACATCCTTAAACAGCAGAAGCATCTATGCAGTGAAAGAACATGCCGAGGTGGATCCTCCCCCTCTTTTTAAAAACTTAGTGTCCCCACCACCTCTCTTCATCATATGTTTAAAGACTCAGAGTCTTTTAGTCTTGGAAAATTTCTTCAATTTCTGTATACATTCTCCTCTCTATTTTCCCTTTTCTCTCTTCGCAGAACTTCTATCATTCAGCAATTGAACTTTGTGGACTGGTCGCCAAGTTTTCTCATCATTTCTCTCTCCTCTTTTCCAATTTCTTTGTCCTGTTGCTACGCTATCTAGATTCCTTTAACTTAATTTTATGACATTTCTATTGAGTTTCTGTTTCTGTACCATGTTAATGAGGTTTCTTTTTCCCGCTGAATGTCCTCTTGCACAGCCTTTGCAACCAATGCTCTCTGAATGTATGAACCGATTAACTTCCTCCTCGCTTAATCTGTCTCACATTAGAAGATGTTCCCCAAATGCCCTATGATCCCTGGCTGCTCACTCCTACACGTAAATGCTCGTCGGAAGCTCTGCAAACACAGGTGAGTGTTGCAGCTCTGGATTCCAGAGGATGGAGGTTGGGCTGAGTGATTTCTTAGAGGAAACCCCACTGTATCTTGAGATCTTTTGGGTTCGTTAGAGTCTCCAAAAGTCTCTTCTGGTTTCCTGGGGGAAGACTAGACATAGTGATGGTTTTCAACACTCAGTGTAGCAAACGTCAAACCGACTCGTTTGGCGTGCCGTGCCCGGTGTTCCCCCTTCCAAATTCCCACGAAGGATGTGGCTTTCTGGGGCTGCCAAGTCAGTCTTCGTGTCTCATTGCTCTTGATTTTGGTCCCTTTCTGGAGGGAGAGAGCCTGGTGCAGGCACTCGGCTGGAAGGCCTTGGTTCCCTCGCCCGTTCCCAGCGCCCTGACTCCAGTGGGGCCTCTGCGTGACTCTTTGCAATCTTTCTACTTGTCTGCCTGGCCACTCTACTTCTGCATTCCCATGGAAGTCACTCCCTTCAGACACCAAACCAGCCCTTTACTCAAAAGCCTCCTTGGCTCTTGACTGCCTACAAAACAGTCAAAACTCCTTAGCATCACGCCCAAGGTCTTGGGTGACCCACCCCCAAGGTTATCTTTCCAGCATGACCTCTCGCCATACCACCCACTCCCCAGCCCCAAAGCTATAATAATTTCAGTGTTAATAGTGCACTACCCTCTGTCTCAAAGACAATCAAATATGGAGAGGAAGTTGGAACCTGCCTGCTTGAATCCATCACCTGGTCTCTGCCACTTGGCCAGCTGGGTGATGTTGGGCAAGCCACTTAATCTCCCCATCAGTAAACCAGGGATCTGAATACTCCCTGCCCTCCAACAGTGTTGTGAGGATCATGGGCACACTCAGAACAGTGGCTGGCACGTAGGAAGTGCGGTGTGAGCGTTTAAGTCTCTGCACACCTTCCTGCCTCAGTAGGTTATCAAATACTTGGAGAGGAAACTCCTCCTGTGCTCAGCAGATGTCACGTGGTTATAATGGGACAACAGGACACTCTTTGCTGGAGACAACGTGAAAAAGAGCTTGGCAAATGGGGACTGTTGACTGACAGTTAAACTATACCATGGCAAAGGCCATACAGTGCAGTGGAGAGAACACGGAGAGTGAGCTTGAATGGTTCCACACCGATGGGGAAGGCTTCACAGGTCCAACGTGGAAGGCGGGGCTTGATGCCTGGCTGTGTAAGGAAAGCAAGGTCCTGCTGCGGGGACAGTGGGTGGGGGGAGCCCCGCAGGCTGGAGAAGCAGGTTGGGGCCGGTTGCACAAGGAGGCCCTGCGGAACCTGTTTGCTCCGGTGGCTTGTTTCCAGCCGTGTATGTCAGTTTCACCATCCCCCCAACGCGGGGAGTACCAGAGACGATTTGGGGAAGTTGAATAGCTGAGATGCAGCTGCCGGACAATTGTTCAGAAAATAAATTAGAACGTGCTCCCAAATAACGTGGAAGCCAGACACAAAAGGACACACATACTCTAGGATCCCATTTATATGGAAGACACAACCAGGCAAGATTGATCTGTGTGGTTTTAATTCAAGATGGAGTTGTGTTATAGGCAGACAGTGGACTAGAAAAGGGAGGCTTCTGGGATGCAAGTAACATCATTTCTTGATCTGGGTCCTGGCTCTACAGGTAGGCTGCCTGTGAAAACTCATCAAGTTGGGAAGTTATAGATATATATACTTAAGTTGTGTACCTGTAATAGTTTAAAACAATACAGCAGACTCATTGCACGGTGCTCACTGAGGTGCACATATGCTTTAATTCGGAGAAGAGGTGGCTTTACCAATGGGGCAGATACCCCTGGTTTTGTGTTCCTTTAGGGACTAACTCAGAACAGCTCTTGGGTCCCCTGAATGGCTGAGGGCAGTCACAGGACAGCCAGCACCAGTCACCTACGCCCGCAGCGGGGCTGCATAAGTGTGTGACGAACTGACTCACATTCAAGGGCAGGGTACGTATGTGGGGGCTCTGCGACACCAACTCTTGGCATCTGTGTTAAATCGCCTCTTTCTCATTCTAGATATAACGAGGGGTGATCGCTCCCTATTAACCTTATAGAGGACTTGCGACAAAAACATCCGTGTATGCATGACTTAACGCATTCAACATTTCTGTGCCCTTGGGAATGTAAAGAATGAGGTTGGTTGTGGCATTTTTTTTCTTAAAAAGCTATTTTCACTAAAAATGTGTATGTACACAGTTAAAAACAAATAAAAGAATAAAAATGATATATGAGAAGTCAAATCTTCTACTTCCCATCTGTTTCCCAAGCAACCACTATTACAACTTTCCTATATATTCTTTTATGTTTTATAAGCCACAAAAGCATATAGAAATCTGTGTATTACTCCTGCCCCCCCTTTTCTTAGACAAGTGGTGGGCAGCATACTCATATTTTGCTATATGTTTTATATCTGTAAACACAGATACAGCTCAGTCTTTACATAAGTATTCCACTGAGTATGTGTTATGACTTATTAACTTATTTCTAGTCTTTTGCTTCTACAAACAATGTGACATTGATATACAAACTCTTGGATATACACTAACATTCTTTTTAATTTATGTAGAAATTGCCCCAACATATGCCCCAACTCTGTTATCAAACTTTTTGACCTCTGCATTTCTAATTGTTTGACATTAGTAACTTGTTATTTTTTTAAAGATTAATGAAATCTTTAAATAAATGTAGTTATTCTTACAGAGAGGGGAAAGGAAGGAGAGAGGGAGAGAACCATCAATGTGTGGTTCTCTTGCATGCCTCCTACTGGGGACCTGGCCTGCAACCCAGGCATGTGCCCTGACTGGGAATTGAACCTGCAGCCTTTGGTTCACAGTTTGGCACTTGATCCACTGAGCCACACCAGCCAGGGCTCATTGTTATTTTAATTATCAATCCTCTGATCTTTTCACTTGTGCCTGAATGAGTATTAACCTGTTTTGACTACCAGTCTTTAATGTCTAGTAGGCTGTCTTCCTTATATTCCTCTACCATTTAAAAAAATTAAGGATATTTCAGATTTCTAAATAGTAAAATTACCTAGGGGTTAACATTTTTTTTAAAGACTAGTCCCTGTTCATAGACCATCCACACATATATACATAGAGCTAATTACATCTTTTAAAAAGATTGCTAAGATTTACAATTTTTATGTATCACTAAAAACTGGAGGAAATAATAATGTACTGGGTTAGCGTTCCCCCAAATTCATGTCCATCCCTAACCTGTAAACGTGGCCTCATTTGGAAATGGGTAACTTGTGGATATAATTCTAATTAAGATGAGGCCACACTGGATGACAGTGGGCCCTGATCGAATGCCTGGTGACCTTGTAAGAGGGAAACTGGATACAGACAGACACAGGGAATCCGAGCATCCTGTGACGATGGAGAAAGAGATCTGACTGACGTGGGCACCACTCAAGGGACACTCAGGACTGCCAGCAATCACCCACCAGCAGCTACAAAGAGGCGACCTTCCCTGGGGTCTTGATGTAAAGCATGGCCATACCACACCTTGATGTTGGACTTGTAGCATCCAGAACGATGAGATGCTCAATTTCTGTTAAGTCTCCGATTTGCAGTAATTTATTACACAGCCCTAGCAAACTAACACAATAACCATTTCAAGTGCTGTAAAACTGTATCAAGTGACTGATCATTTTTAAGTCACTAAGCTGTTTCCAATAGGCAAAAAAGAAAGGCTTACTTTAGAAAACCATTTTTTCAGGTTTTCTTTTTACTATTATCCCACCAAGGCAAAAACAGTTCTGGGAAATGAAATGCCACTGTTTTACAAAGCGTTCATACTTTTATTACATATTGCTTCAATCTGTTTCAACAACTTCAAAAGCGCTGTTGGGTTATACGGGAAAAGATTTTTCTTCTGCAAACGGTAAATGGCACCTTGGAGCTCCTCAAAGCATTTTACCGTTCTGTAAGATATTCCTGCTTCAGAGACAGTGTCATCTGGGGCTATGTCACCAGCAACAGAGAAAGGAATATTCGATTCTTTTGGAAACACGGGCCTTGACGGAAGCTCCAGACTAAGTTCTTTCTCATCCCCACTTGTTCCGACTGTGTCCTGGGTTTTCTTCATTGCTTCCTGCTGTGAAGATGTCTGTTTACTATTTGCGACACAGAGGTCTGTGGATTCTACTTCAGAATCATCAGAGCTGTCGTAATCCACCAGGCTCTGAGAAGCTTGCTGGGAAGACAGGCGACTAGCCTGGGGTGCAGCGTGGGTCTCGGGGAACACCACGACCTGGTTCCGTGGTTCAGGCGCAGCACCAGCAGCCCAGGAGTCACGGGCATGAGCATTCCCGTGACCGCCAAGAGCTGCCAAAAGACTGAATTCTGTTTGGTTGCTGCTTTGGCCTTGGCCAGGTGAGGACATAAAACCGCAAATACTCATGCTCTCGTTAGAGTCCATTACATCAAAGTCCTTGCAAATGGTGAGAAATGTATCCCAGTCTTTGAGCAGTAATTTTAAATATCTGACGAAATATTCAAGAAAGCAGGTTTCTGATGAAATCAAAAAGTCCAGAAGAACTGTCGAATCAAATCCTATATTTTTTAAAAGGAATAAAAAAATACAGTGTGGGTTATAGCCATTTTCATGTGTGTGACGGTGCCACAGTTCTTCTTGGGTCGGACTTTCAGCGGCTTCATATTCCCTGAAAATGAAGATAAGGGAGACCCCAGATTAATGGCTTTTTACAAAAATAAGTTCTGGCAGATATAATTCACCTATAATAAAGTGACCTACCAGGACTTCCGCCAAGATGGAGACGTAGATGGAGGATCCACCTCGCCTCTGTGCACAACCAAATCTAAGAACAACTATTTTTAACAGCAGTCACAACCAAGCCACACGGAAAACCGACAATACGGAGTCCAAAGGACAACTAGATACTCGGCTGGACAGGTACGAGGAGCGAGGCCAGCAGCGGAGCAGGTTAGCAAGAAAAAATTCCCGGGGCGGTGCACGGGGCGCGCAGGCAATCGCCAGAGAGCTGGCTGCTGGAGCGCACAGGGAAGAGGCGCGGTGGATCCGTCGGTCGCGCGCATTTACGTGTGGAGAAACCAGTGAGAAGGGAAACCCGTGCGGTGCAGCAGGCTCGCACAATTAGGATCGGATAAGCAAGCCCGAGGCGTGTGAGTGACTGGATGCGCTGGGCTAGCGGAGAGGAACGCCATTGCTCCCTCTCTGACCCCGCCCCCACACACAGCGTCACAAACCAGTGACCTGGGTCGCCCGTCCTGGTAAACAACTAAGGCTTCGCTCCGCTCACTTAACAGCACGAATAGACCAAAAATGGCTCTAGGACAACTCAGAGCCCCAGAACCGATAGACCTAAGTGATGAAGAAATAGCCAGTCTTTCAGATGCACAGTTCAAAACACTGGTTATAAGGATCCTTACAGAACTGGTTGATTTTAGTCACAAATTAGAGAAACATATGGAAGCTAAATTAATTGAAATGAATGGTGATACAAAAAATACCAATAGTAATGGAAAGAAAATTGGGACTCAAATCAAGGGAGAGGACCAGAAGGAAGAAAAAAATGATCAAACAGAAAGGAATGAAGAAATAAGAATTCAGAAAAATGAGGAGAAGCTTAGGAACCTCCAGGACATCTTTAAACGTTCCAACATCCGAATTATAGGGGTACCAAAAGGGAGAAAGGCACAACCACCAGCTGAAAAATTATTTGAACAAATAATAAAGGAGAATTTCCCCAAGATGGCAAAGGAAATAGACTTCCGAGAAATCCAGGAAGCTCAGAGAGTCCCAAAGAAGTTGGACCCAAGAAGGAACACACCAAGGCACATCATAATTACATTAGCCAAGATTAAAATGAAGGAGAGAATCCTAGAAGCAGCAAGAGCTAAGGGGACAGTCACCTACAAAGGAGTTCCCATCAGACTGTCAGCTGATTTCTCAAAAGAGACCTTACAGGCAAGAAGGGGCTGGAAAGAGGTATTCCAAGTCATGAAAACCAAAGATTTACAACCAAGATTGCTCTACCCAGCAAAACTTTCATTTAGAATGGAAGGACAGATAAAGTGCTTCTCAGATAAGACCAAATTCAAGGAGTTCATCATCACCAAGCCCTTATTATATGAAATGTTAAAGGGACTTACCTAAGAAAAAGAAGATAAAAAAGATGAACAGTGAAAGGACAGCAAACTCACAGTTATTAAGAACCACACCTAAAACAAAAGCAAACTAAGAGGATAGCTAGATCAGGAGTAGAACCATAGAAATGAAGATCTCATGGAGGGTTAGCAACAGGGGAGTGGGAGGAGGGGAAGGGGGGAGAAGGTACAGAAAATAAGTAGCATAGACAATAGATAGAAAATACATAGGGGGGAGGGTAAGAATAGTAGGGGAAATACAGAATCTAAAGAATCTGAGACACATGTTCATGAACTAAAGGGGGAAATGGTGGGGGAGGGGTATGCAGGGTGGAGGGGAAGGGAGGGGGGAATAGAGCAAATGTAATGGCATAATCAATAAAAATAAATAAATTTTAAAAAAAGTGACCTACCAGATTACTTTTTAATCTATGTGTTATTTTAAAAGAAAAACATTTCAAACCCATCTCTTTCTCCACAAACTCTACATAAATCTGACTCAATAAAATAAACAAAATCACTGACTTCGGTAGTTCTAGTCTCTGTGCCTAACGAAAGCACTCTGTCTGCCAGCACTTGAAACCAGACCTCTTCATTCCTGCTGGTCACCACTAACCCCACGCAGTAGGGCGGGTCAGGTGGGCTGCACCCCAACCTCCTTCCTTCCCTTCTACACTCCTGGTCAGTAGTGGGCATGTGACCCAGATGACCAATCAGAGTACCCCATGCTCCTGGCCACCACGATTGGTTCTGATATGGACCTGTGACCCACACAGCCAATCAGATGTCCCCTGGGACTGCTGCTAGTGGCCCTGACCGAGGCTGAATTCAGAGCTGTGAGAGAAAAAGAGTCATAATCAATCACATGATCTGAATCCCAGTATATACAGTTACGCCCGATGCCAACTTGGCCCTTTAGAATTGCCAATTAAGAGCCTATAAATTCCAACTTTTGTGTTGGTTCCTATCATTTACAGCCAAATAATCTTAAAGAATACAATTACCTTTAAAAATACATATGGCACACACACGTGCCTCTCTGGACACAATGAACCAAGGTTAAGAAAGTTAGAAATTCACATACAAAGTGAATTTAACTCAGAGGCTTCCTCCTTCCCGAGTGGCAAGCAGCCGGCTTGGAGCACAACAAAGATTATTCTGAAAGGCATGTGCATTCAGACGGAATGTGTGTTTGACCATTTCTGAACCTAACTCAAATCACATGCAGGAATTCCGTGTTCTTGATTAGACCCTTTCAGAAACTGGCCCCAACCACTCTCAGTCTGAAAGCGACCACGGCCGGCAGGGTCAAAACACCAGTAAGGGCTGGCGGCGCAGAACCGCACTGGCCATCATTAGGGAGAAGGCCCTTCCTCTGGGGCCAAGAAAGAAATGGGAACAGAGCAAGGACTTGAGCAAGTCAGGGCTCCAGGAGAGCAGAAGCAGAAATCAGGTACAGGGTCACCAGTTACTAACTTCATAACCAATTACAGGTACTTGCCACGAGAAGTAGGACCCCAAGTACAGCTGTTTTAATAAAGCAGAAACAGGATCAGTTAAAATGCCATCAGTGACATCACTCCATAATCGATTTCAGAGATTTGCCTCAAGATGATATCCACTGCAGTTCAACTGTATACTCCAATGAAGACCCTGAACAGACTCCTTCAATGACTGACCGGTTTGGACTTGTCTTTACAAAGGCAAAAGTCACCGTGTAGGAGCTCCATGTGGAGAAGATAGCCTGAGAGGCAAAAACCATCCTCAAACATCAGTGAGAGGAAATGCAGAGAAGGGTGCTAACTGGCCCCGCATTGCACAGGCGGCACAGAGGTGAGGCCGCACCAGAGCCCGTGTTTTCCCATCTGTCTGCTTCTGCTGCCCTGGGTCTGCCCGGCCGACCAAGTTTGCAGTGAGCACTCAAGAGCAATCTCATTTTCATGCGGGGCTGAGTTAAAGAAAGGAACAAAACTTACAAGGAAACCACAAGCTTGTTAGGGAATTTTTTCCCCCTTCTAATGATGGAAAGTAAATAACAGGTCCAGCAACAGTATTAAAAATGTTGTCTGCTTTCCTGGCCCGCAGTTAGTAAAATCACTTAAAATATACCAACCTGCTCAGTTTTAGGAAGATGCCCATGGACGCTTTGGCAGCCTCCAGCATGTCATCGTCTTGTTCTATGAAGACCCGGGACAGCCACTCGCACGGATGCTGTGCCCACACAGAGGGCTCAAGGTGAGGCTTTAGGAAGGCCAGCAACTCCGACATGAACCTCTGTAAATCAACTTCAAATAATAACAGTTTCAAAGCACCAGCAACAGTTTATGAGTATTCATATTTGCCTACTTTATACATATTGATAGTTATTAGCTCTGGCTGGTGTGGCTCAGTGGACTGAGTGCCGGCCTGTGAAGCAAAGGGTTGCCAGTTCAATTCCCAGTCAGGGCACATGCCTGGGCTATGGGCCAGGCCCCCGTAGGGGGTGTGCGAGAGGCAACCACACATTGATGGTTCTCTCCCTCTCTTTCTCCCTCCCTTCCCCTCTCTCTAAAAATAAATAAATACAATCTTTAGAAAAATGCATTATTATAATTCACACTCACATATGCCTGCAAGTTAGGGATTATCTCAACTTTGCAAATTAGGAAACTGAGCTTCAGAGGAAAAAAGTGACTCACTCCATAGAATACTATTAAAATGTATAGGCAGATTGTCTGTTTGCTACAATTGCCAAATAACTAGTCATCTTTGAGAAATAAAAGTTACATGCATTCTTGCCAAAAGCATGTAAATGAATGCGCAGTAGACAACAGAATGTGCAGTCGACAACAGCTGTCTGTTACTAGTGGCAACAGTGCAACAAAACGAAAATAATTTTGCTTTGAAAGTAACAAAAATTTTTTTTGTTTGTTTAAAGCATTTAAAGACAGTACTGCTATCAAGCACAAAAAGCAAAGAGGTTTTGGGAAGTTTCAACTGCAACTTAGAACTCTGAATTATATAACACATGCCACCTAGTGTTGTGAATTATAACTGCACAGAATCATATCCAATAAACAGTTACTATCAGCAAAATGATGTCCAGAGGAATTCAGGGAAGTCACTGCTTACAAGTCACACCTTCCACTAAAACTGCATGGTGCTTATTTAGAGATACTTACTCTTCATTGTTCTCAAATGAAAAGGAGAAAAATGACACCCAAACACTAAAATTGAATATCATGCTTTAAACGGCTGTCCCTGGACTCTGAGATGAAAATTATATGCAACACTTTTCCCATCAATATAACTTTCCACACATTAGTAGATATATCAATTTTATGAAGGAAAATTTGAAAATACTACATATATCCACGTATGAGGTGACTCATGTCACTTTGCAGTGACTCAATAGCACCTCCCTTTTTTTAACCCATCATTAATTATGCTATGCAAATTAAGCTTAGTCCCCCAAAAGCCAGCGTTTCTTAAGGTAATTCTAATTTTCTTTTGTTTTTTGAAGGAAATCTGATAAATCATTACCTGGATTACATATACAAGAGCTTAAATTAGTAGAAGTAGTTCTGAGATTTGATAATTACAAATAATTTTACTTCAGTAAGTCATTACCCATTCATTGGCTTGCCTACAAAAGGGATCAGGAGAATTACCTTTCATTTCCTTTGCTGAAGCACAGTTTTGAAACTTGATTTCTAAGGATTTAATGATAAGCAAACTGGCTGCTCTCAGGATCCCGTGATCTGGACCAGGGAGACACTCGCAGCCAGGCTGCACGTCACCGCCTGCAAAGCAGGAAGGTCTCCCACAGACAGACAAAGTCTTCAACAAACCCAAATCCACAGCTTGCAGAACAGCCTCAGCGAGGGCCAACAAGTCCCCGTCTAAATGCTCATCTGGTGGCACTGAGGCAGCGACAGATCCCCGACAAAGGTCTTCGCCCACTTTGCAGAGGAGGCACTTCTTAATGAAAACGACGACCTTCCTCTTGACGAAGGCCTGAACCGGCCAGGCCACGACGTGCAGCACACAGGGAGCCTTCAGAAAGAAGACCCTCTGGCAGGGGAACGGAGACTCCAGGTGGAGCCTGGAAGCCATGAGAAGTTCAAGCAGCTCCAGGAAATGTATCAGGCTGTTCACCATTTTAGAAGGGTCTTGGAGGTTTTTGAAATGCTGAGAAAACAAGGAATTGTAAAAGGCTTCCAAAGTCGCATCCAAAGGAGTCAGGAACTGTTTTAGAATTTCTGCAATTAAGAAATAGTATTTATGAACAACAGGAAAAACACAGCCTTCTTTTAGCCCACTTTTACGTTTCCATTGTTATCAATGTTATCACTTTACAAGATGAAAAAGTGGATTTGCATTGTTTACCTCTAATGTCAACAAATGAAGATACACTAACGGGCAACAGCCAATATGCACTTTACAAATAAGCATAACATCCGATTATGCTATGGATATATAATAATGAAAAGCTTTACCTTTGTTTCCTTTAAAAAGGTATCCTCAAATCAAAAAATACGGGGCTAAATTCTTTAGTTTTTCATACTTCAGGACAGATCAGACGTCATACAATAAACTTGACTCTTTGTTATAAATACAGTTCTTGGGAGCAAGATCACGTTGATTGTGTATGGGGAATACAGTCCGTACCTGTTTTTTGTGAACCTGTGCCTTTAAGGATTTCTTTCACGACAGCAGTGAGAGTGTGGAGGCAATACAGGACTTCCTCGTTTTCAGAGTATTCAGAAAGATGTTTTTGGCAAAAAGCAATCCAGGAACTACTTAACGTTATCTACATACAAGTGAGAACGTTTTAAAAAGTGGTTAAGTTACAACACTTTCTTTATGACTACAAATCACATATTGTATACAACTCTATACAACTTTTTTTTAAAGTATATTTGTTAAAACAAGGACATGAATAGCCCAATTTTTTAAGTAAAAATTCAGTATGTCATAGAAATAAACGACCAAAAGGGAACAAGAAAATAGCAGCAGTGGTCATCTCTAGGTGGTAAAATGTGTAATTTTTATTTTGCTCTTTATATTTCTCATTTTCCAAATTTTTGCCATAAATACCACGTTTTTTTGTATTCAGAAAAAAAATGTTATTTTCAGAAAGGAAAAAGCATTTGTAGCTGAAAGTCAGTAGCAGCTTAGATTTATTAAGTAATTTGGAAGGAAGAGAAAAAAAGCTCAATTTAGTAATTTCTTTCATTATGCTGAGGACCATTCTTAGAATTTCTTTATAGTAACCTATAGAAATGGTCTCAGTCTCTGGCACCGGTTCCTAACCCGTTTTTTATGAGGGATTAGAAGCCTAGCTACTTCTTTGACAATCTGAGGTTATAGACCCTCAGACCTAAAACCACACCCTACTCCGCCCCCCCCCCACCTCGGGTTAAGATTTATAATGAGTTACAACATATTTAAGATTCTAATCCTGGATACAAGTCACTATCATCTTATCGTGGATTTATGGGCTTACTATGTTTTCAAACGTGTCATTGATACAAATATTTGAAGGGTAAAAAAATTGGATGCCAAAGAGTGATTTTAAAGAAACTAGAAAGACGCAAAAACATAGTTTGATTACTGACCTTTTCTTTCAATCGGAAGTACAGAAGTAACGCAAGGCACTTTGCAGCCATGTGACATAACAGTTTATCGGAGCTCTGGAACATACGGGTCTATAGGAAAACAAAACAAATTTACCCTCTATTGCTGCTGTTTTTAAAACTCTTATTTAAGAAATGTAGATCCAAAAAGATATTTAACTGATAAAAAACAAATGGCTTACTAATTTAGAATCAAAGTCAGAGGACTGTAAAAGAATTTTAATGATCTCTCTGTATCTCTCCTTGGCGTGGAACGTAGTCTCGACAGACAGGGTTCTGGTCACCATCACTTGGACCACAGTTAACTGAAGGAGCGTGGTTTCCCAGGCCCTGCTCTTCAAACCCACGGCAGCTCCGGAGGTGGGACATGAGGGGGTGCTGGGGGGCTGGCACTTGCCCCGGGCACCGGGGGTGTCTGAGCACGCTGAGGGGCTGGCTGTGGGGCCACCTTGGTCTGGCCACTCGGGGTGGAGATAACAGACGTAATCCTGGTTGTCATGTTCAAGTGCAGCTCCAAGAAGTACCTTCTTATATAATTGCTCTAGAACTTCCAAGGACTCTTCCATTTCGATAGCCAAAATGTATCTTCTAGGAAGTTTGACAATTCCAAATGGTAAATGTGGAACTTAGAAATGTGCGGAATCGGTAAGGTGCGTCTCTTCAGTGAAACCTAAAATAGAAACGGTAATTTTAAAATTATAAGTGTTACATACACTGTTAGTATAAAGGAAAGGTATCTGTTTCCACTGAGCCATTTAAGTCTCTTAAATTAAAGGTCACCCTGGTTGCTTGATTTCTAAAATGGAATGCTGGTAATAAGAACATTGTTTTAAGGCCATAAAAACAAAAATGTATGTTTTCCAGACAGATTTAAGGACATAAAAATTATCTTTAATTTTATCACAGCGTTCCTCTAACCATTTTCAAAGGGCTAACACAGTCTCTCATCTTTAGTGCCAGCAGCGGTGCTGGAGAAGCTCCCCTGTGCATTGTGGGAAGTGGAGCAGCACCCCAGACTTCGCCCACTAAGATAACACTAGTGCGCCCTCTGGAGGTGAAATCCACCAGGCTGGAAACCACCTAGCAAACTCCAATTCATGAACCTCCTCCACCTTCCATTAACTTATACATGGAAACTTCAAGTTAGGAAGCTGTATGGTTATTGCTGATCAATTTCCAACTTCAAGTTACATAATACAAAGAGATCTTAGTCATCACTTGAACCATTAAATAAAAGTTATAAAAATGCCATCCCAGGAAAGACACAAGATGTTAAGACAAAGTAATCCAAACAGGAGTAAAGTGTCTTGTAACCAAATGCAAATGTGGACATCTGGTTGACCCAGAACCATTTAGGGCACAGGTGGCAAACAGAAGGCCCGTGGGCCAAACCCAGCCTTCCACCTGGTGTTACTGGGCCCGGCGCCTTGTTGAGCGCTGGGCTCCTTGCCCCTAGTTATGGAATAGTTACATTTCTATAGTTCTAAAATTATTTCGGCCCTTTGAAGGCAACTGCAAGGCTGATGTGTGTCGTCCCCCCCCCCCCCGCCCCCCCCCCCACCCCGTGACAATGAGTTTGACCCCCCTGGTTTAGGGTCAGAGAGGGCCGAAAATGGCAATCAGCTACAGGTGATTATCAGAGGGAGTGCAGTTACAATAGAGTAAGCAGGGCAAGGAAAACTTGAAGACTCTGGCATAAGCAGAGGTTACTAAATGCCCTTTCAATGAAAGGGCGGTGCCTCTGGGAATTATCTGGTCCCGAGAGGCTAGGTTCTTCCCTCCCCTAGCAGCTACTTTACACCTCTGTAAATTATGACCAATAGCAATGCAAATGACTTGTCTATACACATGCAAATAGCTGGCTGGAGGAGGGGCCACGGTCTCGGCAGTGGGAAAAAGCCAGCTTCGCTTGCATTTATAAACACATTTCAACCTTCCGTTCCTCCAGGTAAAGTTGTGGTTCTTTTACTGTAGAAATGGTTGTGCCATCTGCCTGGTTCTTTCATGCATTCATGAGTTAAATAAGATGATGGACTCCCATTCATTTTATGTGGGTCATGACGTTGTCCTCATTCACCCTTGAACAAAATCCAGTTTCCTGCCTTATTTGTGAATGCCCTGCCTACGCTGAACCTCCTTCCTCACTGGAAGAGATCTCTCTGAGGGCTGCCCATCCCCCCCCTTTATACTGGGTCCCACCCACACCGTAAAGCCCAAAGACCTGCCCTTGGTCTGCAAACCTCCCTCTCTACTGGTTTCTGCCCCCTGCTTGTTAGCTTCTAAGGAATTTCAGTTCCTGATCACCCACCCCCAGAAGACAGAGCTGCCCCATTTTTGTCCTCTGGTGCAGAATAAATATTAAGAAGCCTACAGAGTTTTATTTAAAGTTACGAATAAAACTTTTGTTAGGTTTCCTCTGATTCCCATTTTCAAACTGTAGAGTACATTCGCTATGATTTAAAATGTAACTAAGTACCAGCAACCTTGTTCCCTTGGACAGTGTGAAACTTTACCTGAATCCCGTGCTTCCAGAAATCGGAAATGGTCAAGCGCCAAGTATTCCAAGTCAGGGACTCACAGCCACCCTTCTTCACTGGTACCCTTGTTCCATAAAACCTGTCATTTTTTCCTCCTTTGAGAGGTTTCCCAGTAATGAGCATTTTCCTGTTGCAACAGCCTAGGTAAAATCATCTCTTTAATCATCTTGTTTATTTTGTCAGCCACCGTCAGAAATTAGTTTTCATATTCCACTTCAAAGCCTAACTCTACTGTACCCATTTTACTTATAACAGTAACATTTCTTCCCAATAAACTACTGACATTTTTATGTCAAATACTCTATGACAACAGACTATTTTAGGTTATAAAATAACACATTCTGAACTTATTATTATCATTTTCCACCACAAATGGAATTATTTTTATTTCAATGCTATAGCAGTGAAATAATTCTAAGAGTATATAAATCGAAGGCCCTTAAGTTTTACCCTAAAGGAGAATAAAATTGCTGTTATCTAAATACCTTCTACTCACAAAAAGGGCCATTTCAAATGATTCAACCATTTCAGCACACACACAAAAGCGAATGCCAATAAACAAACAGATAAACAAACAAAGGCATTTTGCAGGGGGGGGGGGCGAGGAATGAACTGTTTCCCAACACAGTCTTTGCCAAGGATGGTTGGGAGAAATTAGACTGAAAAATTAGAAACTTTCAATTAAGATACAGATTCAGAATGACCCTTTATAGGCAGAGGAAGAAAACCAAGTCTCCACTAGAGGTCATGATGCCAGGCAGGTAACAAACGAACGAAGAAAATAGGTGCTAAGCTGCTTCTTTTGTGACTCAGCATAAACCTCCTAATGACAGAGTCTTTTAAAACCTTAATGCTGGCCGAAGCGACCTGCATTAAAATAAATGTCTGTGGGCAGCCCACTAAGCATTGAGAACTGCAGTTGCTCTTTTCAGTCGTTTTTTGCAAAAAAAAAAAAAACAACCACCAATTATAGCATCAAAGGAAAGGGCGCATTTTAAGAAAACTGGGGAAATTAAACCACCACCCTTTTTTTTTCTCCCAGAAGTGGTGGCTTCAAAGTTGGTGGCCTCAGACTGCATCGCCACCCTGACACGGAGGAAGGGGACCCCTCAGACACCCGGTTTTTCAGAGACTCGGACAAGGCAAAGTGTCTGGGGAAGGGTGCTGGGCAAGATGGGGAGCTCTGAAGCCAGCTAGAGTGGATAAATGAGAGAGAGAGAGCTGTCGGGCCCAGGGAGGAAACAAGTATTAGGAGAGGCCTCATTCGGACAAGTGAGTGCTTCTCCGAGTTTTCTCAGAAAATTCCTCTTGGCAGAGGACAGTGAAGGGGGTAAGGGGTACCCATTACAAGCACAGAATCTGAAGTCTCTCTTGCACTGTTTAAGCACCATAAACTGTTTTAAGTTTGCATGCTATGACTAAAGAACCTTGTATGTCTTGATATTAAAATAATGTGTTTCCCAACCACCTTCACATACAGTTGACTCTTAGGAATCGTAATTTCATCAAGTGCCTATGATACGTATGAGACGCTATTCCAAGTGATTTAACTGCCTCACCACCATCCCATGAGGCGGATTCTGCCTCATCAGACCCACGTTACAAACAAGGAGGTAAGGCACCCAGAGATGAGGTTATGGAGCGAGGTCAGTGGCAGAGTCTGGATTTGAACCCGGGAAGTCTAATTCCAGAGCCTATAGCTTCTTAATCTATATCGCGCCATTGACGAGGATGCTGAGATTCTCCAAGCAGAAGAAGCCAGATGCTCTAAACAGGGCTGGCTTCCAGGATGCTGATTCCCTGCCTGGTTAGACTCAACGGGAAGTTCAGGGAGGTGGGGGAGGCCTGGATATCAGGGCCGAGGTTAGGGGAGGCTGATGCGGGTGGTTAAGCCCCGAAACAGAAAGGACAGAGGTTCCCATCGTCCCTGTCTATCACCTGGGCCATCAAAGCTGATGAGCTTTGATTTCAAACGTGCCTCCCTCCGGTATAGAAAGGAGGGGGAAGGGACACCTTCCCAAGAGCCTGCCTGTGCTGGGCTCCTTCCCTTTGCCCTGCTCCTTACACTCCTCACCTTTCTCCCAGGCCCTGGGAGGCGCCAGCAGGAGCTGGGGGAAGGGAGGGGGGAGGGGATGGGAGGCAGCTCTTTCAAGTTTTAGGAACTCCTTCCCTTTACCTGGGCCTAGAGCAGGTAGTGGCAGTTACAAGCCCCAGGGGTACGCCAGCCCCTGCTCTTTTCCTTAAAACAACGCTGCTCAAGTTTCAGCTGCCTCAGAACCATGCGGAAATCTGCAGGGCCTTACTCCAGGGATTTCAGACACGGTAGTTCTGGGACCCGGCCCAGTAATTTTTGTTTCTATTGTAACTAGTTTCCAGGTTACATGCCGAAGCACTGACAATACTTAAACCCTCCACGCACTGGTAAACCGTCTTTTTATTAAACTCTTACCTATAGAACTCTCATACAGGTCAGGATTTTATTCTATTTTAGCATAAAGGGAAAGCCTGATAATTAAGTCATCGATAAAAGACTTAAAATACATGATGAAGGCCGGTGGTGGAGTGCTTTTCTGGTCTATTCACAAGAGCCTGAGATCTGGGATTGAGTCAAATGGCTTTACCACATAATCCTGGAAGCCTCAGTCTCCTTCTGCGTTCAGGGGGCGTATTGATAGTATACCCAGGTCACAGGGTACTGGCAGGGTTCAACTACAGGTGACTGTCCCTGTAATAAGCCCCAGGGAACATCTGCCAGCATTTCCAATGCCACGGCTGGCCCTGTTAAGCATGTCCGCACGTGGCGGGACTGACCCACAGCCTGCCTGCTCTGCACACTTCTTTTACTTCCTCTGCACTTTTATTTACAATGTACGGCTGCTTCTACTTTTTTATGTTTATTTTTAAATTATTTATAAGGCTGCTTCTAAAAAATAAGTGAACATGGTTTGATTTTGAGGCAAAAAAAATCATACTTCTCCCCCATTATTAAGGCTGCAGCCACTTAAGACAGGCACTAATATAAAACACCACATCTTCTTGTTTCTTTTTTTTTTATTGAGCTGTAACTGACTTATAACATCATATTCGTTTCAGGTGTTCAAATACATATAAATATAAATGATCACCACAATAACTCTAGTAATGTCCTTCGACACACACAATTCCAAAAATAATTATTTTTTGTGATGAGAGCTTTTAAGATCTGTTCTCTCCAAAACTTTCAAATATGCATGGTGACAATACTGACCACAGTCACCACTGTAGGTCACATCCCCAGGACTTATTTAAGTTTGCACCTTTTCCCGCCTCTACCCATTTGCTCCCATTCCTCCAGCCCCCATTTCTGACAAACACCAATTTATTCAGTATCTATGGGCTTGGTGGGTTTTTGTTTGCTTCTTTATTCATTCACCCATGGATAGACACTGAGGTTGTTTCCATATCTTGGCTATCGGAAATAATGCTGCGATGCCAGATTCTTGATAAGAAAGGTAGTAAGCGCCTGCTAACAGGTGTGGGCCTCCTGGAGGGAGCAGCGTAGCAGGGCTCGGTCTCGGAGATGGGAAGAAGGGCAAAAGCAAGAGGTCACACTCATCTGAACTTGACAGCTCCTCTAGGGCCATCCTAGTTCGCCTGCTGGATAAACTCAGGAAGAGCCTGTATTGGTTTTAGACAAGTACTGCAATAGTCTGGCTCTCAGAAGCCTAGAATAATATAGAGGGATGGAAGCATGTAATATAAACTTGATCGCCAGAAAATAACCCTGTGGAACTTTTCCAGACAGTGCTGTTTACACTGAACACTCCCAGGGCAAACTTTTTTGCATAGGGCAGATGGGGAACATTACCATCAGAGCATGTTAGTCCCAGAAAACAAATCTCAGAGATGATCTAGACCAGTGGGTCTCCAGCCCTAGCTTCCGAATCCCCTGGGAGGCTTGTTAAGAACACGGGAGCCGGGCCCGGCCTCAGCAGTTCTGATCCAGTGGGTCCAAAGAGCGCCCGGCAACTGGACCAGGGACCCTGCTTCGATGATCACTGACCAACCTACCCACTCTGACTAGTAAGGAGTCTGAGAGCATTAGGTTTATATTCGATCACAGTAATGCCACGCAGTTTGGTGGGTTTTTTTTCATGGTAAACCTCTAGTGTATCAATATAAAAAACAAAATGTTTCCATTTACGATGTAGCCTTTCGCAGCCTACATCCCTTTCCCTCCTCCTCCTCCCGCCCCGCCCCCCAAGAAAACCCAACACCAGTGGCAGGACCTTCTATCAGTGTGACGGTTCAACCACCTACATCACACTCAGTCCCTGAATTCTGAATGCTGTACAGACAAATAGGATTTGATTTTCACTTGAGAAAATAAGGTTACCTGTCCCATCTCAGCAGAGTGGCACACGCTGAAAGGTCTGAGTAAGAGCAGGGCTTTTATGGTGAACACATCTACACAATCCAGTAAGAGGATGCCGATACTGCTTTATTTAGTCCCTTGAAAGGTGCCTTTCTGGCCCTGGGTCTTGATATAATGCTGTTCCCTCTGCCCAGAAAGCTCTGCCACTTCTCCTGTTTCAAGCTTGAACATAATTCTCTATGCCAACTAACTGGACAACCTAGAGAAATAAATTCCTGGAAACATATAACCTACCAAGACTGAATTGTGAAGAAGTAGAAAATCTGAACGGGCAGATTACTACTTAGAAGACCGAATCAGTGATCAAAAACCTCCCCTCACTCAAAAGCCCAGGACCAGGTGGCTTCAGAGTGAATCCTACCAAACATTTAAAGAGGAATAAACACCAATCTTTCGTGAACTCTTCCAAAACTACCAAAGAGGAGGGAACACTTCTGAACTCATTTTACAAGGTTAGCGTTACCCTGATACCAATTCCAGACACACAGACAAGGGCACCCCAAGAAAATTATGAACACCGAGGAGAAAAATCCTTAACAAAATCATTAGCAACAAATTCGAAAACATATTAAAAGGATCATACACCATGATCAAGTGGGATTTACTCCAGGGACACAAAACATGTTTCGATGTCTGTGAACTGGTCAATGTGATGTGCCACGTTAACAAAATGAAGGAAAAAATCATATGATCGCCTCAATAAATGCAGAAAAAAAAGCATTTGACAAAATTCAACGTCCATTTATGATACAAAGTCACACCAAAGTGGGTGTAGAGGGAACATACCCCAACACAATGAAGGCCACACGTGACGAGCCCACCGCCAACATCATACTCAATGGGGAAAACCAGAAAACTTTTCCTCTATAAGATGAGGAACAAGACAAAGGCGTCTACTCTTGCTGCTTCTACTCAAAACAGTATTAGAAGTTGTAGCCTGAGCAATCTGGCAAGAAAAAGAAACAAAAGCCCTCTAAATTGGAAAGAAGTAAAACTGTCACTACATGCAGATGACATATGATATATAGAAAACCCTAAAGACTCCACCAAAATACTGCTAGAAGTACTATTCAGTAATGTCGCTGGACGCAAACTCAATAAACAAAAATCTCTTGCATTTCTATATACTAATAATGAATACCAGAAAGAGAAATTAAGAAAACAATTGTATTTGCTTATTTACGGTTGCATCAAAGAGAATAAAAATACCTGCGAATAAATTTAACCAAAGATGTAAAAGACCTGTATAAAGCAAGATTTTAATGAAAACAAATTAAGGAAGACAAATAAATGGAAAGTCATTTATGCTCACAGACTGGAGGAGCCAATATTGTTAAAATGTCCATTCTACCCAAAGTCACTTACAAATTCAATGCAATCCCTATCAAAAGTGTGACGGCACTTTTCAGAAGCAGAGCAAACAACCCTGAAACTCCTGTGGAACCATAAAAAAGACCCTGAGTAACCAAAGCAATCTTCAGGCAATCCCGAGGCATCCCACTTCCTGACCCCTGAACTCTATTAGGAGGTTACAAAAACCTCCACACTAACGAGTCCAGAATCCACAGCCAGGGCCTAGCTCTCCTCTGGGCTCTATACTCGGTATCTAAATGCCACTGAAGAGATCCACTTCGGGGGTCCCCCAGGCACCTTCAGCATAAACTCAACTCACCAACGGCTCCTTAAGCTTGTTTTCCACCATACTCCCAGTACCTCAGCATAGGGCATCTGTATCTCCTGGTCAACCCAGCTAGAAACCTAGACATCTGACGGGACCCTTCCTCCCTGCACTCCCCTCCATCCTCACCGCCACTACCGCAGCCCACCACGCCCACGCTGGACCACTGCAACAGATTCCTTGCCAAGTGGTCGTTTTGTGGCCTACCCTATATCCACTTCCTTCTAAAAACACTTTTCCTTAGGATCAAGTCCAAACCCCTGACCATGGCTTTGTAAGCCCTTCAAGAACTGACCATTGGAGACTCCGCACATCAGGGACTGACAAACGAAGTTCTGGGGTTTCTCCAAGTTCTTCAGGGACATTGTATAGGGTTTGGACGCCCAAGCTTGCCTAGCCCATTGTTTTTGACTAAGTCATACTCCGTTTTCTACTTTCCACTCTCAGCCTTCACCTTGGAAAGCTCCAGTCTCCGCGAGGTGGTCTGTATACACAAGTCCGGGGTAGGGTCCCTGCAAATTGCTCCCTCAGCGTATAGGGCAGTATTTGTCTTGCTGCATCACCCGTAACTATTTTCTAGTTTGGTTCACACTGGATTATAAGCTTCCTTGGGCAGGCCTGAGCCCAGTTTGCCTACATAAGCCAACAAGTACTTCAGGAGTATTTCTGAATGAATGAAAATGTAAAAGCAAATATTGGGGCAAACTGGAAGTGCGCCCCATATCTGCCATACAACATCTTAGTATGTTTTTACTGCATAGAAGCAATTCATATGTTGAAATTACTTCTCTTATATAATTAGGACATGGGTGGTAGCCAAATATCTGGTGTATTGGGTGACTTCGTTTAAAACAATGTCAACTCTTTGTCCAGCCTTCCATATTTGCGGTAACCCGGCTCCCAGCTGGTCTTCTCCTTGGATCTGTCAGCGATCTTTTCAAAACATAAATAAGATACAATAACTTCTCGCAGGACCTGCAAGGTCCTGCGAGATCTGCATCCTGTCCCACACCCCCAACCTCATTACCAAGCATTCTCCCGCTTACTCACTCTGCTTGACTATGCTGGCCTTTCTTGCAGTTCCTATCAACAGCAAAGGTTATTCCAGGGTCAGAGGCTTTGCGCTTTGGTTCTCTCTGCCTGCAAAATTCTTCCCCCCAGATCTTGGCATGGCCGGATCCTCCACATTCAGATCGCTGCGGAAATGGCGCTTCGTCAGAGAGCTTTCCCGACCGACTACCTGTCTAAAATAGCCATCACGTCCCAGACACACTTGATGCCATTATTCTGCTGGATTTCCTTTACATAATATATCCGAATAGTAATTTTGTGTTTCTCTGTCTCCCCTGTTAAAAGTGAAAGCTCCAAGGGCCCAAGGATATGCATCTCTTAGTCACCGTTGTGTCTCTGACGGCGTGAACAGTAGCCGGCCAGTGAACAGTTGCTTAAATGAATAAATGCACCTAATACGCATGTCCATCTCGCACGTTTTCTGTTTTCTTTCCCCCTTCATTCACAGCATTCCGTGAAGATCGCTATCCTCATGGGAAAGAGCAGGTGAAGAGTCACCGCCGCTCCAAAGACAGTCCTCTCTTTCGCGCTCCGCGAGCTATACTCTGCCTGGTAGTTAACGGGGTGTAAGGGACAGAGACGAGCCCAGGAGCCGGCGCTCCAGACTGAAAAGCGCCAAGGGGCGGTGGGACAAGGCGCCCCTCTCTTCGCTTCCCGAGACTGCCGCTTCCCCAACCTTAAGTCCTTAGGCCAGCCTCTTAGTCGGCCGCAAACACGGCTCCCTGGCCGCCGAGCTCAGCGGCCGATCCCCGTTACCTGTCAGAGATCTCCTCAAGGACCCCTACCATCACACCGCCATTCCAGCAAACACCGGCCCCCTCCAGGCCACCGTAGTTCACAGAAAGTATAAGCTGGCCCCTCCTTCCGCATGCGCAGAGGCCCCATTTGGCGTACCGTGTCTCTTAGCAACCGCTTTGAGTCCCTCCGCTGGGGGCGGGGCATTGGAAGGCGCGGCGGGGAAGCTGAGGGGGAAAGTGAGCGAGGCCAATCAGAGACGGGTCCCAGCTTCAATCGGCACGCCTCCTTTAACTGTCGCGAATGAGCAGGCGGCTTTACGGCAGGCAAGGGGTGGAGCGGCTAGAAATAAGGAGGAGAGAAGGAAGCAACCAACCAACCAAGTCGCCCCCACTCCCCACCCCCACCCACCCGGACCTGGTTTACGGCTCCGGGCTCGGGCTCTGGCGCGGCCGCTGATTGGCTACTGGAGGCTTGGTCCCATCCCAGTGACCCCAAAGTGCTGGAGGGAGGGGGCGGGGGTGGCCCAGTGCAAAGTGCATCCAGAAAGCCCCTATCTAGAGCCCCCGAGACTGGCACTTAGGACCCTGTACGACCCTGGACCTTGCTACCCCGAGACCTCCCGCGTTTCTCTCGTAGCCCGGAGCCTCCGGCCCGGAGCGCGACAGCCCCCTGCTCCGAGCCCTCAGACCGGGACTCTCCGCCCCCCCACCCCCCGCCATCCCCAGCCGGGACTTCCTCCCTGCACCCCTGCCCCGAGGCTGCCCCGCGGCCAGGACCGCCGCCCCGCGTCAGCTCCGCTGTGTGGATGCTCGCCGGGCTGGGGCCGTGAGGCACTGAGGAGGCTCAGGAAGACCCGTGTCCGGCCCTGCCTGGGGTGTTTCTTCAATGGAGAAGTTGGTGAGTGTGGAAGAGGCTGAAAGGAGGAAGAGAAGCAGCAGCTGAGGAGACAGGTAAAGTCAGTTACCTTCCCTGAAGGGAAGAGGGCGGCTGGTTGGGACGGAAATCACTGCATCTCCCTGCCTTCCCTTATCACTCCCTTCCTTTGCTCCCCTTCCTCAAAGCCCCCTCCTCCTTGCTCCAGGGGCGCCGCACCTCTCACTGGTTTCTGATTTCCAGGTTTGAGTTGGCTGGGGGAGCCTAGAGAGCAGGAAGCGGCCTGCCCACCCACCGGAGAAGTAGCAGAGAGAGCCTCTCGCCAGCATCCTCTGTGAAGGTAATAAGCCAGCCCTCCCCTCCCCCATTGTTTGTTTCTGGCCCCTATCTCATTAAGCAGTGCTCTATTTTCAGAGTGGTTACCTGGGAGTGCAGCTCTTTCCTGGCCTCCGTTTTCCCAGGAAAAACAACAAACCCTGCACTTACCCTGCTCCTTAACGTTGTAATAACTTTCCTACCCCCCTAAATGTTATTTCCCACCTTTTTCTCTGCCTCCCGTTTCGGTGTTTTGCATTATCTTGTCGTAACTGTACCGTTTACCCTGCTCTGAGACTTGGAGACCTTTTGGTAGCCCTTCCCCCTTACTCTCATAGGAATTCCTCAGTGCCTTGTTAATTGCTTGTTAATTCGGAATGACTCTGCTTTTTAATTAAACCGCAGTTTTCTGTTTTCCCCTTATTCCTTCCTATCATCATTCTTCTACCTCCATCGGAAAATCTGTTTGAGAGTTACCTAACCGACGAGGGTTTTTCCCTAGGAAAAAGTGAGTCTGTGTCCCTTAGTAGTAAGAATCTTGAGGAAGCTATATTCACCCCTGAAGCTCTCTTGTGTGATCTCTTCAGGCTCTTGTGTGTTTGACAGATGTGGATGGGTTCTACCAATGTCAGAGATACATAGTAACTTGTTCCACTGCAGTAGCGTGTGAAACTTTACATAATATCCTGTTAACACTTGACACTCAAGAATTTAAAAGCTACAGGAATGTGTTGGTGTGTTTGGAATGGAGGGCTTGCTTTTTGCCCTCTTCATCAAGGAGACTCCTCATTTCAAAGCTCTCACAGGTAATTTGTTAGATTGACACGGAAGCTTTCCATTCATGTGATCCCGTTTCTGCTGCTGTATTTTGTCGTTGCCTCTGAACATGCAGTAAAGGTAGGTTCAGGACAGCCGTGTTAATTCCCCAAGAGGGGGATATGATCAGATAAATCCTATAAGAGTTCATTTAGTTCAGAAGTTAGCCCAAGTGAATGACTTTTCTAACATCCAATAACACGCTTGTAAAGTGACTTGGTAATCTCAGAGTTATTTTAATATCTCAGACTGTTTAGGGAATATGAGGTACTTAAAATAGCAGAAGCTGTTAGGAAGTCTTTGATTTACTCCGTTCCACTGGACTTTGTGCTTTCCACAAAAAGGAAATTAATGGCTTTCTTGATTCTTCTAATTGTCAGGACATAGCTAAAGATACTTTTGAGGGTCTCTGGGGGTTTGCATATCCTTGAGACCTGAAACCAGACACCAAAGGGAGACTGTACCCTACACAGTGGGACTAGTCCGAATCAGTTTCTACCAACGATTGTTCTGTGGTTCTGTGGTGAACGTTTAGGGCTGCCTTCGTAAGTGTCGATAGGTTGCACTTCATTTCAGCATGAGCTAGCCAAAAGCCAATGAAGTCAAAGGCAATTTTCATTATTTAAGTATGAGACTCACCAGGGAGGTGCCTAATGCGTAGGACTTTTAAAAAAATGCCAAATTAGTGGAAGTCTGTTTTGAAGGTAAAAATGAATTCTCTTATTTTCTATTCAGGCCTTCTCAGTTCAATATTTTTCTGCTTTAGACTTTAGCATGTTTTCGCTGCAGGGAAGTGTTATCACCTGTGATGATTGGGGGGGTCTGCAGCAAGTGAAACATGTGAGGTGAAGAGCACACACCCCTTTTTCTCAGCCAGTTCATCCTCATTGCTGACATGAGCGTTCACGCATCCCCTCGGTGTTTCATGGTTTTTCTAAGGTTAGGGAATATACAGGGTCCAGCAGAGTAAGGCCTGCTTGAGTGTGGTTGGTAGGGTCATAATGTGGGTGCAATAATTTGTAGTTGTAATTTGGACGTTTCACCGAACAGGTCCTATGGTGTGCTGGAGTGTGATAGTGTCATGTCACAGAATGACACGCTTATGATTTTGTAATAAAAAAGAGGCGTTATTGGTTCCGGACCCTGTATATAAACTCAGCATCTGCTCCTACTATTAGTGTGGTCTAGGTTATGGCAAGTGCTTAAAATGTTTAATTTGAGTCCTTATTCACCAACACAGCCAATTGTGCGGAGGGTTTTTGTTTCTTTTTTTTCTCAGCCTGGTCGTTAGTTTTGTGTTAATTCTGTGACTAGTCACAAGGAGAAACAAAATCAATCAACACCTGATTTATTTGACAGCCAGATGTAAACTTACAATTGCGTAGGAAAAAGAACTGATTTTAATTGAAGATATTCAGTGTTGCCTCTTGAGTATGCTGTGGCCAGTGCTTACTTTCTTTGTACCTAAAGCGATGCCATTCACAACTCCTTAATGGTAGGACACATACACTCTATTTGGTTCACATTTAGCTTTGGTAACAGAGAAGTACGTACTATCCTTAAAAAGTCTAATCAGATGAAGTTTACATAAGTGTATCTAATACCTGACTTTCTACCTTTCTTTTTATTCTCCACCGAAGGCATTAAGTGGAACAGTGGTTCCCTTTCTTGCAGACGTTCTAGGCTCTGACCTGAAGCTGCTGAGATGATAATGCCAGGCCTGGGTTCATAAGACAATAATGACAAGACCTCATCATTTATAATTCTTGTGATTTAAACGTTGGGTTGGGTCTGGAAGAGTGACTTACAAAACCGCCACCTTTGCCTCATCCACATTTCATGGAAATTGGAGGTGGTTCTCCTGGAACTTCTGTGGGTTACAGATCAGTTGCGCATGGTAGTGAGCCCTTGTGTTACATAGAGGCCCAGTAGCTGGGAGGAAAGGGGAGTATCCTCACTTGTTTTAGAACACAAACAATGTGCTATGCTGAGTGATACCGACGGTGCACTCCTACTTTATCTGGGGTTCCAGGCTCTTGATCGTGTAAGTAGAAGTCACCAGCAGGCATCCCAGCCTGGCTGCCCACTTGGGCCCTTGCAGCGTGTCTGCGTCCACCTTCCCTTTTAGGACCACAAGCCTCCGGTGAGTTGGTTGTTTTCTTCCTCAGAGCCAGTATCCTTGGAGTTGCTCATTTTACCAGCCTGTATCTTGATTTACTCTGCAAAGAAATGCTTATTTCTTTCTTTCTTTTTTTACTTTTTGAGTAGCAAGCTGTTACCCTGTTTCTAGCTTGTGCGAAATCTGAAAGCACACTTCTAATTTGTGTCCCTTAATCAAAAAATGTGTGAGTTTCAGCGAAAATAACATGCAAAAAAGCCATTAATGACTAATCATGCTAAAAGAAATTGGGGACATGTGGGCAAATTTGGTGAAAGTTATGTAATTGTAGACAGGTCTTAAATACATTTTGTTTTAAAGCCCTGGCTGGTATGGCTCCGTGGATGAAATATATTTTGTTTTACAGTTACTCCTAACTCCATTCTGTGGATATAGACTTTTAAAAATTGTGTGAAGCAAGTTCTGGTGTTAACCTCATGAAGGTTACTTGGCATCTATATGGAAATTAAATGGTAACATTTATTCCAAATGGATAGTTTCTAATACGGTCAACAGTATAAAAGCTTAGAGGCCTGTATTACTCTCTTTTAACCCCATGCAGGGTAGAAAAAGGTGAATTCATCAAATGTAAACGTAGCATTAACATAGGGCCACAAATTTTATGTAAAAAGGAGCTACAGTGAGGAAGCAGCTCATTTAGCGTGTAATTCTGAAGTCTTCCTTGTTAGTGTGGTTTTTCTCTCTTTTTTTCCTAAGTGTGAACCCGAAATGGAATTTCTAAAGATTGTATCCTCAATGTTTTAGTCGTTCTGAGTCATTGCTAACATAAAACAACGTGCCCTGCACATACATTTACTTAGAAAGGTGCTTCCTAGGCCATATTCTGTTCTTCTGTGGGTGATTTGCGTGAGCTGGTGGATTTTCACACTGGCACTCCTTGAGGGGGAAATAGGCTTTTTTTTCCATTCTCATTTCTGGAGATAGTCCTTTTTTATTTATGTATACATACATGGATAGTTATACTCTATTACATGCAAACTCTCACAAAATAGCACCAGGGTAAAATTAATTGTTTGTCTGATGCTTTGGACTGTTAGGACATGGAGTAATAAGTCACCATTTTTCAAAATTTAAGGGATGCTGTGGACAGGAGTCACGTGTGCATGGTATGCGTGTCCATGGGTTCTTTCCCAGGGACTAATGCATGTAAAGAGCGCTTTTGGGGTTTAAAAGTATGGTTATGCTTTATGGTGGTCGGCATTTTCAGAAGAGAGAAAAGTGATAGAACATTTCTAGGACTATCTGATTCAATGTGAGTTTTCAGAGCCGTCTATTGAAGTTCTACCCCAGGGGTAATGGCAGTGGCCAAGGCCCAGCTGTGTGCCAAGTTCACGGCAGGCGCTCAGTGGACCTTCGCTTGTCTGTCGAAGTAGCCCACGAGGGATCATCACAAGTTACCCTTGTCCGCGCATCTTCCTTGTTGAGAGAAATAATGTGGTCACTTCACTTTTTAACACAAAGGCTTTTCTCTGTGATATTAATAAAGGAATACCATCTCCGGTTCCAACCCACACCTCGTTTGCCCTCATGCCCACCACGCCCACCTCCATGGACATGGTGATAGGTGGATGATCGGTGACAGCAGCAGCCACAGCAAGGGTTCTTAGGGTTGGAAGCCCTGGAGGGTCACCTCCATGTTCCCTGGGGGGTCAGGAGGTGCTGAGGACACTCTGAGAGGCAAGGCACCCAGTGACACTCATTCCTAAAATGTAGGTGGAACTCGCCCGGGCAGTAACCAGGTGCTCATTTGTGGAAACGCCGGTGGCTCATCATCGGAGGCATTGGTTTCCTGACGTCCCCCACCCCCAGTTTCCTCTCTTATCATCTCACATTAATAGATACATTTGTCACAGGTAATGGCCCGGTAATGAGCGTTATTAGTAACTAAAATCCAGGCCATGTTTGGATTGCCTTAGATTTTATCCAGTACCCTTTTTCTGTTCCACGATCCCACCTAGGACCCCACGTTACATTTAGCTGTCTTGTCCCCATAGGCTCCTCCTGGCGGTGACAGTTTCCTCGACTTGCTTAATTTTGATGACCTTGATGTTTGGGGGCGTACTGGTCAGTTATTCTGTGGGATGGCCCTTCATTGCAATTTGATGTTTTTCTCATGACTAGACTGGAGTTGTAGCCTATCATATCATATATCATATCATATCATATCATATATATATGCCATGCCATGTCATACTGGCAACATGGCTGACACTCATGGTATTAGCCATGATCAGCTGGCTGAAGCAGTGTTCCTTGCTCTTTTCCCTGCTGCCCTCTTTAGAAGGAAGTCAGTATGTGCACAGCCCATACTTGGGCGGGGGGGGGGGTGTTAAGCCCCACCTTCTTGATGAGGGAGAATCTACACAAATTATTTGGAGTTCTGACAGCAGGTTCCCCCCCTCTCCTGCCCGCATCTTGTTTGTTGATTCAATCAGCTGTGTATTACATGCTCTTTATCTTGTTCCACTTGTTCTGTCTTGGCTGTTGAGAGCTCTTGAGCTGGCTCTTGTGTCCCTTTGACATACTTCCATCATTGCAGCTTTTCTTTTCTTTCTTTCTTTCTTTTTTTTTTTTTTTTTGAGCACTTCCTTCCTGTTTGCACTGTAAGATGCTCGAGGCTCTTGTATATTTCCTGCCCAGGTCTTAGAATCCGCATTTATATGAGGAGAGTTCTGCATTTCTCACAACTCCCTGTAGGAGCCGTTCTGATTATGTCTAATTCAGAAATAATGGGCAGAGTTTACACGGTGGTTGCGGGGCGGGTGGGGATGGGTGGAGGTGGAAAAGAGGGTACGTGGGGGGATAAATGGTGGTAGAAAGCATATTGTAAAATACAAAAAAAGAATGGGCAGAGTTTTAAATCACATATTATTGCCAAGTGCATGTTGGCAGAGGCTTGGTTCTTCCTTGAAGAGGTTTAACAAGGAAAAATAAGGAGTAGAAAAGGGGGAGGGTCAGAGTGGACTGCACTGATGTGGACTGGGTGACAGTTCTGGTGGGCAGCCGGCAGCACCCGTGGCTGCCACTTTTCCCCGTAGCGCCTGTTGCCAGGTGGCCCAGCCTCTTCTTGTTGAAGGGACAGGGTGTCGGTACACTTACCCCACCGGGATGGGTGGCACTTCCCCCAATGACAAATCCCTGGAGCGATTCGGGTAGGACGTGGGGGAGTCACTTTGTATGTGTTCTCAACCTTCCTGGAATTCACGGGCTTAGGGTTTAACTGACACCGACAAAGATCCCTTTTTAGCTGTAGAGACAGTTTTTTTTGTTGTTTTTTTTTTTTTTTTTTTTCGGAATTGGGATAAGGAAGCTAGCAAGACTGTTGTTGATCTTTTTTCTTTCTTTGGTGTGTGCATGAAGGAGTAACAATATGTCCTTTTGGACATAACGAAGAACCAGTATTTAAAGACATGTTCTTTTCGTTGTCATAGATTCCGTTTTGGCTTTGGCCACCTTCTGTATTGAATGCATACATTTTCTCATTTTGGTCCTGTTCGGAAAAAGCAAGTGGCTGACAGTGTCAGTTAAAAAGTAATTCAAATGATTTCTGGCTGGGTGGCTCATCATCCCATAAACTGAGAGGTTGCAGGTTCGATTCCTGGTCCAGTCACACACCTAGGTTGCAGGTTCAGTTCTTGCTTGGGACACAAATGTGAGGCAACCAGTCAATGTTTCTCTTCCTCTCTCTCCCTCCCTTTCCCTCTCTCTAAACTCAGCAAGCATGTCCTCGGGTAAGGATTGAAAAAAAGGTAATTCAAATGAAGCAAGTCTGAAAATATATTCTGAATAGAGCAAAAAAGAAGAATCTTTGTTTGCATCTCAATTCCAACTGTGTCATTTACTATTTCTTCTTTTTTGTTGTTTTTAACCTGGCTATTTAGGGGTAAAAAAAAAAGTCCTGAAGATAAATTACAGTCATACCTCAGTGCTCGTCATCTTCAGAACTCGTCAAACCCTGTACTCATCGCATTTTGATGAGAAAAAAAATGTTTCAGCACTTGCTTGGGATGACCCCTTGCACTTGCGGGAACTTGTATAAGTCACGCCACCATCATGCAAAAGAAAATGCATTGCTTGCTAGGCGCTCATCGGTTTTGCCACTCATCACGGGTTCCAGAACAAATTAACGACAAGTACCAAGGTACCCCTGTATTTATACCACCGTGGAGATGGCTGTGGGTCTCAACATCATTTTCTCTACAGCTTGATCTGAGTTCTTTCTCTGCTGTAAGTTCGTTGGAAAGGGTTGAAAGTTCGTCAAAATGTAGACTGTGCAGGCCGCCATGATCCTTTATTACTTTTAGGAGTGTTTCCATGAGTGTTGTTTGTTCTTAGGTTAAGGAGGCTGGTCCGTGCCATCATCTGGACACAGTTGGAGTCCCCTCCCCACAATGCTGTATGTGCACAATGGTCATTAGGCAGTCCCCCTGTCAGGAAACGGGACATTCTTCGGGAAGGTAAGTGACTGATGGTCCCTGGTCATCTGTACTGCTCTGGGGGGGGAACCCATTTAGCTTTTCCTTTCCTCCTTCACATTAGCTCATGTATATTAAACACAGCACTTGCTAAAACAAAATCCAGGGTTTGTTTTGGAGGGGGGTTGATACCGTTTAACTCCTTCTTAAATAGTGGCCCTATTTAAGTACCAAAATATTCCATTTAAAAAAACTCATTAAAGACAGTTGTTTTGAGCACAGATTAGTAGTTTTCATTATATCCTTCTAATGGTCTTCAACATCTTCTTTTAAAAAGCTAATAATGGGTGAGAATCTATTCAAAAAGGATTCTGGGTTTTCAAATTTCTAAAATGAGGCTTGATCTTAGTGTCAGTTGAAAAAAATAATTAAGTGAAGAAATGGTGGGGGGGGGCATCATGTCTTTTAAGAAAACAAATTGTGTTGAAATGTCTCATTTCCCAATTTTCTCCGAGGAAACGGCTCTTTGTAGAAGTAGCTTAATGTTTCCAAATGATATTGCTCAGTAGTGAAACTTCGGAGTCTGTAGTGACCCTTTTCTGTGTATAAAATAACACAGGATGTTCGATTGCCCTCCTAGGCTGTGGTGATCTGCCCTAAGTCAAGGTTAAGTTTGCCTCTGTACAATCCGCATGAGAAGTTTGACAAGAGAAATTATTATTGGTAACAGGATTATCCCAAGATGTCTAACCTACATAAGAGACCAAAATGTCTTTAAAGAACATTGCCACATAATTTCTTTTTTTTATCTTTAGAAATGGAAGCCTGCTAATTAGATGAGTCTAATCTAATCTTTACAATTAGCCCAGATGGAATGGCTTCCTAGATTAATGTTAATTTACGTTTCTGTGTGTCTTTAAGAGTTTAAAAGGGCACTACCAAAAGTTTTCGTACACGTTTTTAAATATTTTGTATGATCTTGATGCTTGGCATACTTAGAGGGTAAAACTTCTAGAAAACTGAAATAGGAGAAAATGTAAATTCTGCATCAAATAACACAAAGTAGAAAAGATAGAAATAGACACAAGTAAACAAAGAAGTAAATACAATCTATGCATTTTACTCATTTGCTTAGCCCCACCCACTCTCACTTCCCCTCAGCCTTCCACCTTTTGGGGCTAAAATAAAACATTGTTAATATACTTTAGAACAGCAGCCTAAAGGTTTTTGCACTTTTTTTAAAAAATGGGCCGGAAGGAAACCAACCCCCACCCCCGAAACCCCCCCCCCCAAAAAAATGCATCTCATAATTAAAGGTCTCTAGTTTTCGTAGTCTGTGAATTGTCCATTTGATACGTACTTGGAGTTTACTTACTGATTTGTGGGAGAATCCCTGATTGAATCGGAACTTAATTCTCCTCAGAGTGCTTCCGGTGAATCCAAACTCCTAAGACACTCCTGTGACTCCTCAGTTGTCTCCCCGCCCGGCATCACCTTCCCTCTTACTCCCACCTCCCGCTGTTAACGTTCATAGGATGTTTGGTCTGAGTTTTCAAAGGGCTGCTGAAGACACGTCCTGTTTCAGCCACATAGGGCCTTCTTCCTGGCTCGCTTTTTGAAATCTTTTACCATCCTAGGGAAATAACGGAAAGTTTTTGCTTCTAACAGAGACTTGTCAACTAGCCATAGTAGTATGCACTGTCGTGACTAAGGCGCGCGTGACTTAGCAAAAGAAAATTCCATTATATTTCGTGGACACTCTGTCGGCGGGAGCCAGGAAGCCTAAATGTCACGTGTTCTGCCCACCCTTAAAGGCTGATCCCTGCGACCTGATGACGCCTTTGTGAGACGCGGACTCAGCTAGGATGTTACACCACCATTGTCGCAGGAACCCTGAGCTGCAGGAAGAGTTGCAGATTCAGGCCGCGGTGGCTGCCGGGGATGTGCACACAGTCCGGAAGATGCTAGAGCAGGGCTATTCGCCCAACGGCCGCGACGCCAACGGCTGGACCCTGCTCCACTTCTCGGCAGCGAGAGGAAAGGAAAGATGTGTCCGCGTGTTTCTAGAGCATGGAGGTGAGTAGACAAGAAGCGCATCTCTTTCCCAAGGGGAAACTTGAAATGAAACCATATTTCATTTAAAAGGTATGTCTGCCTGTGTGTATGATGCTCAGTGCTTCGCTTTTGTTAACATCAACTTCTTTTCTCTCCTGTGTGAAGATGCGTTGTGATTATGCTGCGTTTTGTTTCAAACCAGCTTGTCTGAAAAGATCAGATTGGTGAATGTGCTTTTTCCTCCGTCACGGTAGTTGATGTACAGCCAGGTGTCTCCAGGTTATTTGAACTAAAAGCAGCTCTTCTTCAAGTTGTCTGGTTGCTTGTGTTTCAGAAGCGGAAGTGGCTGTGGTACCCACAGCGAGAGAATCACACAAGCTTCCTTGTTGGTGATTGTTCGGGGCAGTGGACCTGGCACGGTCCCTTTAAATATCATGGCCTAATGGTGGCCAAGGTTTTGAATTCACCCCCCTTTAAAAACCCTTTTTGGATGCCTTTATGACTATCGTGGAACACTTACTTGCCTTTTCCAGAATTGTACATCGTTCCTGGGCACCCTGCCAGGAGACTGGTTTATCTGAGGGCTAATTTTGTGTAAATACAGGCAGCTTGGAAACTACATCTGACATTGTATGTTTTTGCTTCAAAAACTGTCCGTTAACATAATTCATAATTCCCGTGATTAATAACAACTAACAACTGTCCTAAACTAGTATACTTTTTTCCTCCAGTTGAAGTTCCACTTAATTTTTTTCCCTTAAAGATAGACTATACATACTTTATCATTCGTTTCCCACCTCGTCTTTGTAAAGTAGCTTGGTTGGGACTCAGGTTCCACGTGTGCCGTTCTGGGGCCTGAGTTGCTCATTAACAGCTTTCATTTTCATTGCTAAGGAGCAGTCGGGTTTTCAAACTTGCTTGACATACAGCCAGTGTCACGAGGCACATAAAGACACGAACGCAATGGCTCTGAGCCCAGACTAACTGCAGGGCCACGCTAAACCTGAGATTAGCTGTCATCGAGCATCCTAGGGGCCCCGGGATAGGAGCTGTGTCCTTGAAAGAGTGACTGTTGATACCACCCACCATTCCCTGGCCTGTCCATTCTTTCGACTGTCTTCCTTCCCTCCCTGCTTCTTGCTCATAGTTCATCCTCCCCCCCAAACTTGGAAACCTCAGTTTTGTAGTTAATGAAGGGAAGAGGTTTGCCAGGAGAAAGATCCGAGAAAAACTCAAAGGTGAGTGTAGGATCAGAACACTTGGAACAGTAAGATAACTACGTACATTTTGAAAGTGGAGCCAACCGGATTTGCAGATTGATCGAACGTGACGTGAAAATGAAAGAAATCAAGCATTAACTGAGCTTCTGGGCCTGAGCATAAGAAAGAAAGAGACTTTCCACTTGTTCAGTGAGCGGAGGAAAGTTAGCCAAATGCACCTTGAAAAAATAGGACATCAATGTTTAGCAGAAGCCACTCACCCAACAAGAAATCCTTTAACCAAGGCATATGAGGGGGTCAGATCTCACCACCGTGGAGTCTGTACTTCTGCTCAGTACAGCCACCAGTGAGTGATCTCAGAGCCGAGAGGCCGTCTGGGGCCGCACCGAGATACAGCCATGTGACCACAGAGGGAAGCCCGGCTGGGGGACAAAAATTGGGTTTCATGGAGGAAACGAGCCAGTGTGGCTCGGATTGCCGGCGGGGTCCATCCACGTTCCAGAAGGAGGATGAGGGAGGCTGTCTTTCTTGCTTCATGTAAACCCGTGCCATTGGCAGCACCTGTGGCTGTCGACATTTAAATAAATTCAGTTGCTGTCCCACCAGCTCTGGTTCAGATGCTCAGTAGGCACGTGTGACTTTCATCGCAGACGTCAGAGACCTCGAACATCAGCCTGGGCAGATAAACGACGTTTCACTGGTCTACTTTCAAACATCCAGCTTCAAAATGATGACCACCTAGGGTTTTGTAATGTCAAGAAAGTATTAGAGTTTCTGAACACAAATGCGACACCTGTAACAGCTCCTCCGGACAAACCCTGGTATTCCCCTGACCGGGTTAGTGTGCTGTGGGAGTTACGGGGAGGAGTATGAGGAGAAACCCATTACTAGTACTATCTTCATTTTCACACTGGAAGTTTTCTAGAGATCCAAGACTGTGTTGGACATTTTGTGAAGGGAACATTAAAAGACCCTATCTTCGTGCATCTGTTTATCTTCAGGTTCAGCGTTTACTACACACACTGACCGTGGAGAGCAGTCAGCTGGGGCTCTGGACATTAAATCCATGAAGCAAATGGCCACAGGCCCCCAAGAAATGCATCTCCGCTCTCCTCTCGATGTGGCAGGCAGATCCCCCTGGTGAAACTCATGAGAATGAGTGAGATCGGGGATTGATTAAATCCATAGCAGAGGGGTGAGAAATTCTTTCCAGCTTCTCAAAAATAAGAGATTCTGCAAATGAGAACCCCAAATGTAATGAAACCAGCATTGATTGCAGGGATTTATGGAAGCTGCATGGAGAGCAGTTTAGTACCAGGTATGAGACCCTTAGAAGCAGGAGAACTCTTTGCCCGATGTGTTGACTTCTCTACACTTTTTCCAAGGAAGCAGTCTTGAAGGAAGGAGTTTTTTTATATGCCAATTTTCCCTTCATTATGTAATGGTTTTTCAAATAGAGGCATTCTCAGTGCCCAGAGAGAGAGAAAAGGCTAAGTGATTAGACTAGGATTATAGTTATCTATAATTTTTTTAACTGTATAGAAGAAAAGCTGGAAGTATCATTAGTGTTGACCAGAGTTATTAGAGAATGCTCTTTGTTTTTTGCCTTGCTGCTTTTCTGACCTTTTGATTCATTTGTGAGAAAGTAGTAGCAAATCTGGGAGAAATCCTGTTTGGAAACATTGTATCATCTGACTTTCCAGTCCTTTATCCTGCAGTGAATTATTGGCAGGGTTAGGTGTTCGTCTGGACTTTCTATCCCTGTTGTGTCTCTGTTCTCCGCTCATGCGTACAGCACAACGTGCCACTGGTTTTTAGACCCCCGACATAAACAGAGTGTGTGGGGCAGCACCTTTGTGCAAAGTCCTGGGAACATGTTTGACCAGGTGACTAGGTATATACTCCAGTCCTTCAAGCAACCAGCATTAAAAAAAAAAAATACAGGCATACCTCACTTTACTGCACTTTGCTTTATTGCACTTTGCAGATACTGTGTTTTTTCACAAATGGGAGGTTCGTGGCAACCCTGCATGGAACAAGTCTGTTGGCGCCCTTTGTCCAGCAGCACCAGCTTGCTTCATGTCTCTGTGTCACATTTGGGTAATTGTCACAACCGTTCGCACTTTTGCATTACTACAGTTGTGGTGGTGATGTGTGATCAGTGATCTTCGATGTTGCTGGGTCGAGACCCTGCAATGGCTAAAAGAGCAAAACTTTGGAGCAGCGGTTATAAATGTCTTCAAAGAATGAAGGAAACCATGGTCAAATAATTAAAGGCAAATACGATGGCACTGACTCCTCTAATAGAGGCTGTCATTAAAGAAGTAGAATGAATTTAGAGTTGAAAAGTACAATAACTACAATGAAGAATTCTCTAGAGTGGTTAAATAGCAGATTTGATCTGGCAGAAGATGGAATCAGTGACCTTGAAGATCGCTCAATAGACATTATCTAGTCTGAGGAACATACGGAAAAAAAATTGTTAAAAAATGAAGAGTAACACGGACCACCGGGACCCTATCGGGCATACGACACATGCGTGAGGCATGATGGGAGTGCCAGAAAAGAGAGGGGACAGAGAGAAAGGGACAGAAAAGTTATTTGAAGAATGGCCCAAAACTTCCTACATTTGATGAAAGGCATTCGACTACGTATCTCAGAAGCTCAGTGAACTCCAAGTTGGATAAACTCATCCGGATACATAATAATCAAACTGGGGAAACAGAACATCTTGAAAGCGCCTAGAAGAGTGACTGATTATGTACAAGGGTTTCAGTGACAGCTGATTTTTTTTCCCCATAAGGAATAACTGGCCAGAAGGCAGTGGGATGACATACTCTAATTGCTGAAAACAGGCAACTATCAACCAAGAATTTTATATCCAGCAAAACTGTCCTTCCAAATTGATGATGAAATAAAGCTGTTCCCAGATAAATGATGAGAATTTGTTGCACTCAGACTGGCTTTATGAGAAGTACTACTAGAATCCTTCAGGCTGAGAGAAAAAGACAACGTGCAATTCAGAGCCGCACACACAAAATAAAGTCCACTGCTAAAGATACACAGATACACATAAAAACATGTATTTGTTTTGTCTTACTTTGGAACTAATCACACAAAAATACGACTCACTACAGCACATGTTTAGCACCTCACAGTTTTAGGGTGTTGGCCAGACTGTTCTCAGGCTGGACTGGAGAAGTATTTGGTTCCAAGCACACTCAGAACTCAGTGAACTGAGTACCAAGGAACTCGTTGGACTGACAGTCCAGCTTCCTGCAGGCTGGAGGCTGTGGTTCTAGGGACTGCAGGAGATTTTGATCCTGTGGGCTGGCCCCCCACAGCTGCTGGTGGCATCAGGGTGGCAAGGAGATGCTCTGTGTGTTCTGTCGCCTTCGTCAGATTCTGTCGGCTACAGGGAAGTCGCCGCCCTGCTGACAGTCCTGGAGAGGATTACACAAAAGCGTGAACATCGGCAGAGAGGGATTGTGGGAAGGGCCTCCTCGGAACCATTCTCCCATCCGCAGCGTAACTGTGTTTTCCCCGTTCATCTCGTAAAAGGCGACGGCGTAAAGCAATAATGGAAAACCAGCACTGGGCTCCTGTGAAGACGCAGCGTATACGACAGAAACAGCACAAAAGAAGGCAGAGGAGAGGAGGCTGTGTCGAAGCGGTTTCTGTATGCTGCTAGAATTAAACCCATAGTAAAAATAGGAGTGAAATAATAAGATCAATCAGTGGAGCCGAAAGTGGGCAAGTGATGGGGGAAATTGATGAAACCACACAGCAAAAGCGGGTTCT